CCTCAAGGCTTAAGGCTACTACAGGCGAGGAGGCTACTTATTTGTGGCTATAACCCTTTCTCAACTCTATAACTCTGAAACACGAACCTTGACGAACAAGGCCGCTGCACGGAGAAAGGAGTTGAGCGCGGTACTGCCAGGGTTGTGGTAGGGATCAAACTCGGAACCTCTCACTTATGAAGCGAGCACTCTACCACAACACCACTACCGCGTAAGAGTTGAGAGAGGATTGTAACCACAACAAGGTAGCCTCCTCGACTGTTGTGTTGGCTTCTCTGGTCACTACTACTCATTTAAATTCAACTTGGGAGGTGAATAACATAAAGTAATAAAAATCTCAATTGATAAAAATATTTGAATAAAAATTGTAATAATGTATTTCCAAATAATGATTCAAATAATAATAAGCCTGCTCTGATAGCTGTTATTGTTGGTTATAATAGTTAATAATAATAGTTAATAATAATTTAGTTAATAATAATAGTTAATAATTATTTTAGTTAATAATATTATAGTTATAATGTTAAAGTTGGTTATAACAGTTCATAAACTTATTAAATATCTTTAAAAAAACCCAATAAAACCCAGATTTTCCAGGGTTTTATTGGGTTTTTTTAGGCAGGGTTTTTTGGGTTTTATTGGGCAGGTTTTTTTGGGCGGGTTTTTTAATGCCAACCCTGGTTTTAGTAAACCTGGCATTAATGTGTTATTTAACACACGGTTAGCATGGATCCTTATAATGCCTACCTAGCTGTCCCAAGAACGCCACTTATACAGAAAGTTAGCATACACATCAAGGTACCCTGTGATGCAAATTTTGAAATCATTTTATTTTGTCTGCGGAAAATAATTTAATTTGAATGTTCAAATTAAGTCAAATTTTGACTGCATAGTGCGCCAATAAAAACACTTGTAGAATTTGAACCACTTAATATAATTTGGTAAAAATTAGTGCAAATGTAGCCAATAGTCACACCAAACTCTAAACAAAATTTCAGCCTGATTGGATGACTGGTGTCGGAATTATTGCAGTTTTAGTTGAGGTTTTGTCAGTTTTTTGTTATCTATACCTCAAAGCGTTACCAATTACTTTGAAATTCAGTTACTATTTTTAAAACAATGGTTACAGGGTTGTTCTACTATGTAATACCTACAATTTTTGTTATAATTATTTTATCGGTACATGTACATTTTTCATTTTATAGACCAAAATAGTGATTTGCTACTTAAAGCATGATTTGAATTGGCTTATGCCAACGGCGTTGACACGGCCTTCAAAGTGGAGGGGGTTGACCCCTCAATTTCTAAAATAAAATCCATAATTTCTTAAAGAATTGCCTATATTTCTAACACAAAAGGTCCTCGTAAAAAAAAAAGTGGGCAGGCCATAGCTCCCTTGACAACCATGTATGCTTCGCTTGAATATACCAACATTTCCTAAGGTATAAACTACTGCCAGAATGCAAAATAATTCTAAAAAAATTGTTAAGAAGGATTTCTAGGGATACCTACATAGAAAATAAAAATATTTATTTATCTGAAAACAGAACAACAGTGAAAAAACCAAATATTTTTTATATTGACATAGATAATTGACTTAAAAAATTTAGATAAGTTAACTAAGATATCTGACCAATACAAAGTTTGGAGGGCCAGTCGGAAGAAAATTACTCTAACTGAATAACTAATTAGGTTGAAGGGTTGTTTTGAAATAAAACAACCCGTGTGACAAGTATCATTAGTTTAATAAGTGTGACAATTATCAATAATCTTAGGAGTTGTCAACCATCTTTTCAAGATCCTTAAAACTGCTTGGATAGAAGCTATTAAGTGGCTAGCCGCCCTCCACATTCAACTGAGCCCAAATCATGGGGGCCAGTTTGTGGAAAATGAATGCAGAAAGCTTCTTAAAAATGTGGATATGCTGCATCAACTTGCTGAAACAAACATGGTTCCCAATATTGTGTGCATAATTGAAGCATTCAAAAGCTTTAATTTAGTTGTCAAGGCTTGCTTTGGATACATCCTTCAGCCGGATTTCGCTGAAAAAATTGAAAATTTCAAAAAGTGTTACCTAATGATAACTGGTACAAGCGTAACACCCGAAATTCACGCCGTCTTCTACCACATCAAGGATTTCATCAGTCACAAAGGATCCCCCTTGGGACCCTAAGTGAACAAACTGTCGAAACTTCTCATCAAGATTTTTATCAACATTGGTTGAAGTATAAGCGAAATAATAATCATCTAGAGTACAAAGAAAGATTGTTGCGCTGCATAATTGATCTAAACAGTAAGCATCTTTAAAGAACATCATTTGAGTTATTAGAAATTAGGCTGCTGAAATTCATATTTTACGGCATATAATGAATATTTTCACCATCTTTAAAAGTAGTATTATAGAGTATTTTGTATTAAAAGAGTACATTGAGCTATTTATTAATAATCTTTTGGTAGAGAAAATCAAAAAAACATTTCTTTAAATGTAATTAGATATTTGATAGTAATACAATGTAAAAAATAGGGTTTAAATAGTTTTCACTTCATTTTAAAAGTAAATGTATTTAAGGAGGTCAATACAAAATATTTTAGGAGATCTACTTTTTTTTTTTGTTTTACTAACTGGTAGTCCTTTGACCAGGTTTTGCACTTTTTTTTAGTTTTTTTTTTTTGGCAGCAGTTTATACCTTAAGAAATGTTGGTATATTCAAGTGAAGTATACATGGCCGTCAATGCCGGGGAGGCTAGGGGTCATGTCCTTCTCTAATTTTTTTTTTGCGAGGACCTTTTGTTTTAGAAATATAGCCAATTATTTTAGAAATAAAACATTTTTTTAACCTCTATCAACCTAACAAAATTCTATAAAACTGAATGTTTAAAGACAAGAGATTTTTATAAAATAGAATCATGTTTTTTTTTACTCTTCATTCATGTCTCTCATTTATATCTCCATAAATGTGTTAATAAGTTAAATGAAGTATTTAAATGGCTCATGATTTTTAATTTTGTTTAATTTATTTCACGTTTGGGTAAAAAACCTATATAAAACTAGGTCAATTTATAGCTAATCAAATTATAGCCAATCAAATTACTGCAAAACCAAATAGTACCTAAGTAAATTAATGGTTATACAAAAATTTGTTTTTTTATTCTAATCTGATATATAGTTAAATTTTTAGATTTCAAAGAGATAGCATTGTATTTTCTTCTTATTTTGATCCATTCTTTGATACTCTTGCCGATTCTGTAGCTTTGAAAAATCGAAAGGTATATATATTGTTTTTATATGGGTTATGTTTATGTATCATTACTTTATTTATATGAACCTAGTTGGTTATCATAAAGTAATAACCAAAATAAGTCAATATAAAAAATTGTTACTTTAATGGGAATATATTTTAAAATGTAAGTAAAAAGTGTAGTAGAAGTTTTAGATATGCTATTAATTATTATTTAAGCTAATGAAAAATTAAAAAAGCTATTATCCCTTATGATTTAAAGAAATAATTTTTTTTTAATTAAATTTTATTAGTAATTCATTTTATTTCATTTTAACTCTTTTTTTTTTTAATATTTTTTTATTACGATATACTTAAAAAAGAAATTAAGCAAATTGAATTTGTGCTTGTTAATGTAATACAGGGGTGGGACCGCAAAATGTGAACGTTTTTGTTTTATTATAACTATTTTCTCGTTAGATGTAGTTGTACTCTCTCACTCATCAGAAAGTGTCTAAAGAGTTGTTAAATATGAACTATTTTAAATAAGAATGTCCAACCATTGGACATTCTTATTTAAAATAGTTCATATTTAACAGAAAATTAGTTATTACAATCAGAAAAGTGTTCACATTTTGCGGTCCCACCCCTGTATAATTAAAAACCTAGTTAATATAATGTAATTATTAATAAATTTTAGGCATTTCAAATTTAGGTTGTTAATAATATAGTTTTATGATAACTGTTATTAGAACATATATATATATATGTCAGATATCAAAAGTTTATACTGTCTTATAAACTTTTGATGTCTGACATATATATATATATATATATATATATATATATATATATATATATATATATATATATATATATATATATATATATATATATATATATACATATATATATGACCTCATAATTAGGGTTAGCATTTGGCAATGCCGACTAGTAAGCGACCGGGGTTGATATTTGACCGGGGCCGGGGCCGGGTTTGATAAAACATAGCCGGGGCCGGGTTTGTGACTGGGTTTGTGACTGGGTTTGTGACCGGGGCTGCATTAATATTGATATTCCTTATAAATATATTATTGTTATTTAAAATTCATGATATATTTTATATAAAGGTATATATATCATCTCATTGACATCGTCATCATCATCATCATCATCATCATCATCATCATCATCATCATCATCATCATCATCCTCATCATCATCATCATCATCATCATCATCATCATCATCATCATCAAGAATACAGTTGATGATGATGATTAAGATGATTCTGATAATGATGATGACAATGATCATCATCATCTTAATCATTGGCATCATTATCATCTTCTCTGATACACACTATAAATATAATTACTACTCTCATACTATCTCTAAGATCATTGCTTTTTTTCCTATCTTTTAAAGACACCATATATCCATCTGATCTACTTTGTTCTTTCCGGATGAAAGAACAAACAAGCCAGCAACCTGGATATTCTAGAAAAGTTAATGGCCATCATGTAATAAATTGATTATTTGAAATTTTTAAACAAAGTTAATAATTTGAAAAAATATTTAAAAATTGCTAATCAGGGTGTTTAAAATATCCTGAAATAAATTTTATAAGATAAATTTATTGTAAAATTGCATTTACATTTAAAATGTAAGTAACTTTTTAATTGTAATTTTAATCATTAGAATTACATAGTTGAGATATTCGAGTATTTAAATGTAAAGAAATTGATAAATACTAGAAAAAAGTTGAATTTATTTTTGTTAGCCCCGGCTAGTAACCCCTGCAAATTGTGTTTGTTTAGCCAGGGCCGGGGCCCCGGTCACTTACTAATGCTGACTTCACTACTGATATGTAATATATAATATATATAATATATATGTTTATATATACTTACATATATATATGTATAAATGTATATACATACATATATATATATATATATATATATATATATATATATATATATATATATATATATATATATATATATATATATATATATATATATATATATATATACATATATATATATAAAATATGTTAGTGTATTCTACAAATAGAAATAGAGTGCTTAATGTTCTTAAAGAACAGAGCAATGATAAATTAACAAAACACTTATTTATATTTATCTTCAACAACTTGTTTCACCATCAATAGATTCATCAGGAAGAATGCCTAAACATCAAAAAATTCAACTTATAGAAAAAATATTTCACAGGAAATTGAGAATTGTTTTAATTAATTAACATCTCTTTTAAAAAACAAATAAAAAAATAATAACAAAAATTAAAAATAAATAAATAATATTAAAAAAATATATTAGTTTTAAATTAAACTGGTCTATCCTAAAAACTGTGCCTGCCTATAATAACATTTCTAAAAAATGTATACTATGTTTACAAGAAAAATTTGCAATTATTACTCATTTGGATCAAGAAAATTTACTAAATAAAAAATCTGAATTAATTTATTAATGCAGACATGAACCTTTAAAAAATTATAAAAACAAATGACCAAATAACATTATCCTAATTTTAAAGAATTCTTTTTATGATTAATTTTTGAATTTTAATACAAAGCATTCAAATTCAAAAATTAGTCATGAAAATTTTTTTTGCAAAGCATCAATATTTGACATAAGTATAAACATATAAATAATTGTTGTGGCTCCGTGTCAGGAATGTATGTATATATATATATATATATATATATATATATATATATATATATATATATATATATATATATATATATATATATATATATATATATATATATATATATATATATATATATATATATATATATACACACACATTTATTGAGAAAAAATTTTGCTTAGTGATTTTCTACTAATTTATATATATATATATATATATATATATATATATATATATATATATATATATATATATATATATATTTATATACAGTGTTGGCCAAAAAAAACCGGCCAAGATTTTTTTGCAGAAAAAGTTACATTTTATGGGTTTTAAAAGCATTTCTCAGATATTTAAACCAATATCTCAACTTTTTGCATATTTCTTGTTTATTTAAATGTCTTATATCTTATTTCTTATATTAAAAAAGAGTTTCATATTGAGTATAAGTTATTTTTTTTCTTCTTTTTTCAATAATTTCTTATTTGGGCTCTTATTTGTCATAGTTATGGTTAAATAACTCTTAAGTTATTTGATTATTTTGTAATAAAATATAAATTGTAGATAGACAGGGTTAGCCTTACCCTAACCCTGTATATATAAAAAAGTTCTAAGATGTATTTATTAATGATGAAATATGCTAATTTATTACATTTTAGACTAGATAAATATATAGTATATAAAAATGGTTTTAAATGACATTAGTAAAGGAAGAACTATTGAGATGTCATCCTTTGGTATGACTCATAGAGATATTGCAAGCAAGGTTGGATGCGGAAAAAGTACTGTTACTGATTTTCTAAAGACGTATAAGGAGACAGGAGAAACAGTCAGTCAATCTGGATCAGGAAGAAAGAGAAAAACTACTAAAAGAGAAGATAGATGCTTAGTCCAAGCTGGCCTTAAAAATTGACGTATTTCTACAGATGGGATAAAACCAGAATCTGGTATTACCAATATATCTGGAAAAACCATAATTGGTCGTTTACATGAGTGTAAAAATTTAGAATTTCATCAAAAAACCTCTTTTATCAAGGATCAACATTGCACGTAGGCTGCAATGGTACATTGAGCATAAAAACTGGACTATTACCCAATGGAGACAAGTTGTTTGGTCAGATAAGCCTCCTTTTAGCTTTATATATCATTATCATTGTTTAAAGATTTTGTGTTTGGAGGCGTAATAATGAAAAGTATCACCATGAATGTATAAAGCCACAGTTAAGCATCAAAAAAAAAGATTAATGTATGGGGATGCTTTGCTGCGCATGCAACAGGAAGGATTCACAAAATTAAAGGCAATATGGATCAATACCAGTACCATAGTATTCTTGTTCATAATGCAAAGCCAAGTTGCTTGGAATTATTTTGAGATGGTAACTATGGTAACTATCTTTTTCAACAAGATAATGATCCTAAGCACACTGCAAAATATATCAAAGCATATGTTTAAAAAAATATGCTAACTCTGAAATGGTGGTCTAGCCAATCTTCCAATCTAAATCCAATTGAAAACCAATGGTCAATAATCAAAGATAAAATTAAAAGAAGAATGTTTAATGATGAAGTTTGTCTTTTCAATTGCGTAAAAGAGGCATGGAATAGCTTAGAACCATTGTTATTAACAAAGCTTGTTGACAGTATGCCTAAAAGAATTAAAGCAGTCTTAGCTGCAAAAGGTGCTATGACCAAGTACTAGATTTTGAGATTTTGTTTCAAATAAAATGACTCTTTCAAGATAATAATAATAGAATACAATAATTCTGCCAACAATTATTTTGTGCTATGTATATTTGGTAATACTTCTGTATTTATGAAATCATCATTACATTATAAAATGTGTCTTTTAATGCTTTAATGTTGATTTTCTTCAAATACATATATATATATATATATATATATATATATATATATATATATATATATATATATATATATACACATATACATATACCGATACATATATATATACATATATATATATATATATGTGTATATATATATGTGTATACATATATATGTTTATATATATAATATATATATATATATATATATATATATATATACACATATATGTTTATATATATATATACACACACACATATATATATATATATATATATATACACATATATGTTTATATATATATATACACACACACACACATATATATATATATATATATATATATATATATATGTGTATATATATATATATAATATATATATATATATATATATATATATATATATATATATATATATATATATATATATATATATATATATATATATATATATATATATATATATATATATATATATATATATATATATATATATATATATATATATATATATATATATATATATGAAAATAATGACAAATGGTAAAATAGTTTATAGTTAATTTTAAAGGTTTTTTTAATTGTTATTACTTTTTGGTTAGAACAAAAGAAACATTTTGGAGGCAACCCCAATTAGTTCTGTGAAGCCATTCACTTACCAAGACGGAGGAAATATATGTATACCAATTAGGAATAATATTGGTCAAATTATTGGTATAATTTAATCATTTGTGTATATTATATTTTTCTTAAAATTTAATCGTTTATTGTGCATATTATATTTATCTTAAAATGCATTTAAAAATGATTTGACTTTATTTCTTTAATAATTTCAGTTTTTCATAATCTTTAAGTTCTTTTAGGTAATAAATGTATAAAGCGTAAAGAATAGCAATGTCTATATATTATTACATATCTTTCTTTAATAAATGCTTTTATGACACTCCTATTTCATTTTTCAATATATAGTATATGAGTTTGACAATCCTTGAGTTTTGGAGTTTTGGACACAATTTATATTTTTTTAAAAAGACCAACCTCCTTCATTGAAGTAGTGCCCACATCTTTGTGGAGGTGGATATTGCCAAAAAAAAAAAAAAAACTCAAACTAACTTCACCACTCTCACAAATGCCATTTTTTAAAAATTAAATTGTTATATGATAACATTTTGAAATAGGGTCATTCCATGCCGAGTGAACTAGGGTCCAACATGGACCCCCTCAGATTTTGATGAAACTTGGTGGGTTGGTTTATACCAATAAGAAAAGCAAATCCTAATAATTTCAGCTTACAATCTTTTGTGGTTCATGAGATATCGCAATTTGAAATTTCTAATTATCCCCAAAATTTAAACTTCGTAAGCAAAAACATGTTTTGTTCATACTTTGAAGCTCTGTAATTAAAAAACGAAATTTCAGAAAACCTTCTAGTTTTTTATATTATATACAATTGTAGGCTTACTTTGTTAAAACCTTGACATTGAATTTTTAATTTTGCATTTTATCCATAATGGCTTCCTAAAAAACCTAAAAAATTGTTTGCAGATATAAAAAGTTGATTTTTGATGGGTCAATAAACAAAATTAGCAACCTAAGAAGTGAAAAGACATATCTTTTTAGTTTCTATATATAGTAGGCTTCCTAATTTTTAAAAAACTGCTGATAAGATACGATTCAGTAAGAAATAATGGACTCCTAAAAATGGCTCCGGAGAAAACTTTAAAAATTGTGCCTTCCCTTTAAACCACTGGTAACCTAGGATCAACGCTGATTTTCATAGTAAATTTTTTTTACTGGTTTAACAGACTTTAATAAAGTGAGTTCAGAAAAAAATTAGTGGGTACTCATGGGGAAGTGACAAAGTCAGAACAATGAAGTTGGCACAAAATACATTAAAAACGATAAAAATATAGATATTGATGTATTTTAGTTTTCATTATCTACTGCAATGCAAAATATATATATATATAAAAGTATATCATAATCATTACTAGAAACAAGCTATAAACTAAGACTGAATTAAACTCAGTTTTTAAATAACCTTAGTTGCCTCCCTACCTCCATTTACTTTTTAACATGCATATTTTTGCACAGAACATTCTCATCATAGGAAGAACTTTTTGTTTAATTAATTCTATTAATTAGTTATTGAACATTTTACCTTAAGCAGTGTGTTATATAAAAGCTGTGACATTTAGTTTGTAAAGTTAGATAGAACATATAAAAGTAGCACATTAGATAAATAAATAAAATAAAGACTTTTCGGTTTATTCTTACTATCTGCCCAACACATATTTATTTTCATATCACTTACTTTCTTAATATTTAATATTCTGACTATAAATTTTGTATAATTTTTCCCAAAGCATTTGCTATTCCACCCTTCCCAATTTATTCGATTATCATCGTTTAAATTTAGGTTGCAGATTATACCAATTGATAAGAATTGTTTGATTTGTCATCACAATATGCATCTTTCTAACATGTTTCTAACATGTTGTGTTTATGGTATGTTTCTAACATGTTATGTAAATTGGTTATCCTATTTTTCTAACAATGTTGTGTATATTGGTTATCTAATCAGGTTTTATTTTTTTGAGACCAAACAAGTAGCTACAGTAAAATAATCAAACTGCCAATTATCTCTTGTAGGACATGAATTGCCAACATTTTTTATTGATTAACGCAAACTCCTATTTGAAGCAAATTAAGTTGAATCACATTTTTTCATCATTGCACACAATGTTGTTGTCTTTTGCTTTCTCATTTGCAACCTAGATCATAAAAAATTTGAGTTACTAATTCAAATTATTTTGTACATTTTTGATCTAGAACATCTCATATGACCTGGTCAATGTTTGCCTTGATAAAAAATTTCCAATTTTTCATGGCCTCAAAGTTCATCAGATATAAATCCAATTCAAAACATAAAAATAGTCAACATTTTGCTTGACACCATTAACAGACTTGCCAAATCTTATTGATTTCGCTTTAAGTAATGCATAAAAAAATATTGTATTTGACCCTAAAATTAAAGAAATGTGCTTAAAATTTAAAAATGTTACTCTAAAACATGTTGAAATGTTTGTTAAACCAAAAGGTGCATCAATGGGTTGTTTGATTTAAACAATATACAGAATAAAAATTTCATTAACACCAAGTTACTTATTCAACAACTTATAAGTGACCTGGGATTGGCACAAAACCTCACAGAAATAAATATTAAGACAACACAAAGCAAAATGAAGTTACACTATGATTAATTGAGTAAAGACTCTCCTTTTTAGCCATAGAGTGTAGATATATATACAGGTTACAAAGAAAGACTTAGTGAAAAAAGTTCTCCTTTTTGCTTAGTGGAAAGATATCACACGTGAATTTCAAAATAAAAAAATATGAACAATAAAGAAATTTCTACTTTATTTATCTCGCTACAAACAATCGTTTGGTTTTAAAGAAAATCCCACAAATTTTGTCAGATATTGGTCCCTATTATTCTAACGTGCTTACTCCTCTTACCTACATTTATAACAGCACTATTTATCAGCAAAGGTTTTAAATGTCTGAAAGTACAACCTATTGTGATATACTAACTGCCCAATATTACTTCCGGTGCATATAACTCAATATACAGTGTGCCTGACCTAGATAAAAAAACTGTTTTTTTGTTGTTGTAATAAATATCCTTTCATAACTAAATGATACCTAACATACCATCAACCCTCACTTGATGTATGTACTAATGTCCCCGCAGCTCCCTATTTCAGTATGGTGCCATCAGTGTGTGTCTAATGCCGCATTTATATGTATCATTGAGGCTAAATAAACATTATAAATATAAATTATATATATATTTATAGTTTATTGTCATGTGTGATATAGATCTTGTATATTTTATGTATAGCTTGTTGCCATATATGTCATGTCTTATCATAGCCTATATTTTTATACTATGGTTGGTCATTATGTTGAGTGGTTCATTTTTTATTTTTGTTTATTTAAACTTTTATTGTAATTTTAGGAGTTGTAAAATTATGTGAAAGAAAAGTTAGTAATTTTTTCACTGAAAATGACAGAAAATTAATAGAGGTATTAGTTTTTTACAAAAGGATTTACTTTATCTTTGTGATATTTATTGTAATAAAATCTGTATATGACATACATACATACATAAATCATTCAAAATTTGAAAATCATTTACAGTTATTTATTTAACAAATTAATTTATTAAAAAAGCAACCCAAATGATTCAAATATTAAATAAGATTTTTTTTGTTAGTTTATGATAATGTAGTTGGTATTAATCAAATCTAATTTACCACTTGTATAGGAAAGCTATATTGTTTCAATTTATAAAACAAGAGTTGATATTTTACATCACAAGACAATACTTATAAGTTTAAACAAGATATTTAAATAAGTATTAAAACCCTAAGTTATTAAGTGACCATATATTGATACTTTCGAAAACTTGTCAAGATAATTATTTAGATTTTGACAATTTTCTTTAGATCTTTTGTTATGTGGTAATTTTCATGATTTTTGTTTTGGGATCTGGAATGCAAATTTAAATTTAACATTTGGAGTCCAGGAATCTTTTTTTTTAATTGTAGTTCTGGGAATCTCTATTTTAAATTTTTGTTCTGCTTACTGCAAACTTTGTGGCATATATAGTATTCATATTTTGCAAATCTTATGACATATAGTTTAAAGAGTATGGAACTCATAGAATATATATGTGCATGTGGATCAATAAACATTTCATTTACAAAGCATTTAAAAATTTGGTTTACTTTGCTAACAAAAGGAAATCTCTTTAATTAAATATATATATATATATATATATATATATATATATATATATATATATATATATATATATATATATATATATATATATATATATATATATATATATATATATATATATATATATATATATATATATAGTATATATATATATATATATATATATATATATATATATATATATATATATATATATATATATATATATATATATATATATATATATATATATATATATATATATATATATATATATATTAGAGATGTACCGATTAATTGGCATCGGCATTGGCTTAATTGGCCACTTTTTGCACAATCGGTATCGGTATCGGCATTGGTCTTTCCTTATCAATTTACCGATTTTCCAACCGATGGCATTTTTATATTTTTATCCCTAAAATTGTATTTATTTTTTGAAAGTTTTCTTTTCATAGTTAAAAAAAAGTAAAAAATGTATATTTATTTGATTGAGCTTTTCTAATATCTTTTGAAATAAAGGTTTGACTCTGATTTGGGTCCAAGTATTTGCTTACCAGTTCTGATTCCATGAAAAATTTTACACGATTTAAAGTTGTATGGTTTTATATTATCAAATTATAATAGCTAGTTAATCTATCGGTATCGGCATCGGTATCGGCCTTTTCCTATCCATCGGCATCGGTATCGGCATCGACCAAAAATGTGCAATCAGTACATCACTATATATATATATATATATATATATATATATATATATATATATATATATATATATATATATATATATATATATATATATATGTGTGTGTATATATGTATATATATACATACATACATATATATATATATATATATATATATATATATATATATATATATATATATATATATATATATATATATATATATATATATATATATATATGTATATGTATATGTATATATGTATATGTATATGTATATATATATATACATACATACATACATATATATATATATATATATATATATATATATATATATATATATATATATATATATATATATATATATATATATATATATATATATATATATATATATATATATATATATATAAGTATCCACATATAAATAAATTTTATATTAGAATATTTATATAGGTTTATAAAGAATTATTTACAAATAAATAAACTTTGTTTGCATATAAGTATTTGTTTTTAAGGGTTTTGCAATATTTTCTGGACTTGGCATTAATAACTGTATCATGTATGATAAAATACTAAAAGGAAAAGCACAACAGACTGTGGCTATTGAGGTTTTTGTTTTAATAATTTACTTTCTTTATTTTCAATTAAAGAAGTATAAATTAAATGAATAATTTAGTATAATGCCTTAATTTCTTTATTTTGATTTACTATAAATTTTAAAACTATATTAATAAATATGACCTTGAATATATACATACAGATAACCAGTAATGTTAAGCTGTAAAAATCAGGATGATTTATTTTGCAGTTTTACATAATTTAACACATAAAATGTAAAACTTTCTAATAGTTTTTTGTTAATTTGTTTAAATGACTAAAATTTTTAACTGTCAAAACTATTTTTCATAACTGTTAAAAATATTTTTATTTATCTAGATATAAATGTTTGCAATAGAGTTTAAGTCAGCTTTAGGGTAGAAGTAAGTATTACAATGATAGGGTGAGTCCAAAAAAGAAGTACAAGATAAAAGATTTAGAGATATTATTGCATGGTTAAAACTACCTAAAGGACAGCAAGGAGAAACTGAACACAATCTACAGATAGAGACAAGACACAAATTAAGGAGATAAGGTAAGTGATTAGGGTTGTCTAGAAAATGAATCACAAAGTTATCTGAGTAAGAGATTTAGATATGCAGAAGTTATGGGCTTTAGTAGCAGCTGGGTCAATGGTGTTAAAGCCAAGCTATTCAGTGTGATGAGCATTAAAGTCACCAATGACAATGTTATTGGCTGAGGTATAAAGAGAAAGGGATTAGTCAGTTTGATCAGAAATTGAATCTAAGGGAGTGCAGTCTTAAGAAGACCAAGAACAGTAAAGAACAAAGGGCAGAACAAAGAAAGGCGATTGAGTAAAAAGGTTTTAAATAGAAGCACATAAAAGAATAATTTAAAGATTCAAATCTGATTTCACGGCAGATAGGTTAATTGATGCGTAAGATTAAGCCCAGGTCAAGCAGGTGATTGTTGGAGTCTTTAAATCTATTAAAGAGACACAACCAAAAATCTATGAGTAGGGTTAAGAAGACCCAGCATTCATCATCCTGGAAACAATGGAAAGGCTGGAAACAATGTAACACCTTAAATGATGAAATCAGCCAATTATAATTAATTTTGCTGAGCTGCAAAAGAATGTTATTAAAAAAGTAAAAGATGTTTAGCTCTGTTTTAATGATTCATTAAAACTAGATATACATAAATTTTACTTCAAAAACGGCCTTTTTTTATTAAACTTTGTGTGTATCTTCATTTCAGTCATGCTAAATCATCAGGTTTACAACAATTTCCTGCTGAGTTGTCACGTTTACAAGAATTATGTGCTGAATCAAAACATCTACGACAATTTTTTAACTGAGTCATTACATTTACTTATTAAATATATTTCTCTGTTAAGAGTCAGTCACAGATAAAATTTTAAGTAGTACATATGAGGTTTTTGTGTTATATCAAAATTCTTTGAAAGCATGTTAATTGTGATAATAACTTTCTGATATAGTTAAATGGCTATATGTGTGGCTGGGGTTTGCATGTAGCAATGTTAAATAATCAAATTGCTGAATAAAACTTTTTTAGAAGATAAATCACTTTTACTTATGTATATAAACTGTCAAAAAGTGTTTAAAAATGTTTTCGTTTTGTAAACAATATTCACTTGTTTTTCAAAGTAAAATTTGGTGATGCTTATAGCTTTAGTGTTAGTGATGGTGTTGGTGATGCTTGTATTGTTAATGTTTTTAATAAAATATTCAAAATGTTTTTAAATGAATGTCTTTATAGAAATGAAGCAATTATTTAATTAATTGATTTTTTTTTTAAATTGTTTTTTATTGCAGGCTCTATCATATCATACTAATGCAAGACAAGTTGATGTTGATAAGTTAAAAGTAAGTTTTTTTACATATCAATTATTTTAATGGTTTATTTGCTAGAATAATTATACTCATTTTAAAAGCGTAAAACTATTCTAGCATTAAAACGATACTATAATATTTACTATTGTAGAGCTTTAATACTTTAGCTGGTAGAAGTACCAGCAAGTGTGAGTTGCACACTTTTTCAAGTTTTAATAGAAGTTTTTGTCAATTCATGTAATTTTTCAATTATGTATTTTATTATAATATAATAACACAATATACTAATATTCTAATAAGAAGAACTTGTTACATTTATTAATGGTATATTATTTTTTATCACAGTTGTCAATAATTCCTCAATGTCAAGCATTAAATTTAACAAGTCTGTCTTTTGATGACTTCTCTTTAATGGAACATGAAATGCTAACAGCTTCTATTAGAATGTTTAAAGAATTTGGTTTTCTTAAAAAATATCAAATCGAGTATGAGGTTAGATATAAATTTTTTTTTGTTTTTATGTAAATCATTAAATTTCTAAAGTTTTTAATGCATTTTTAAAAAGATACCATGCATATATATATATATATATATATATATATATATATATATATATATATATATATATATATATATATATATATATATATATATATATATATATATATATATATATATATGTATATAACTAATGATATAATATTACAACTACTGCTATAAGTTATGCACTTATTTTACAATATTTTCTTATTAGTTTATAATTTCTTTGTTTTCAGGTATTATGTCGCTTTTTAATTACAGTGAAGAACAATTATCGAAGAGTTATTTATCATAATTGGAGACATGCGTTTAATGTAACTCAGTCCATGTTTGCTGCATTAACAGTATGTAAAATAAAAGTTGAACAGATTTTAATAAGTTTTTTGTATCTTAATAGATTTATTTATAAAATATATATATATTATATTATTTTATAATAATATATTCAAATTTATATTTATATTTTAGTACATATATTTAAATTTTAGTATATGTATTTATATTTTATTTGCATTAAAATGAGTTGAGTTTAAGATAAAAATAGTCTAAAACGAATTAAAATAAATAACCTAAAGAACCTTTAATTAAAATATAGCTAAACATATTTAAATGGCATTTTTTTATACAAAATTCTTCTCCATAATCTTTATAATTATATACAGTTAAATTTATGTAATTAAATACAGTTGAATTCATGTTTCTAAGAGATTTGGAAATATGTTTGAATTTTTTCAAAAAATTTTTTTTTCCTATTCTGATTTACTCCCAACAAGGCTGCAAGCAACCACTATTAAGTTGGGAGATACTAGAAAAAAAGAATACAGTTTTAGAGCATGGAAACAGTTGACAGACGACTTGAAAAGTTGAAGGTTGTATGAGTCAGGAAAACATGAAGATAGGAGAAAGTTCCAAAGATTTGACGTGCAAGGAAAAAAACTAGATAAAAGTTTTTATTATATTATTATCATGTTAGTTATGCAATGTTCTTTAGCGATAGTATTACGCCTATAAGTACTTTAGACTTAATATTCACTGATAAACCTAACAACATATTTGAATTAACGCATTTGCCTCCTCTTGGCAACACCAAATAAGGACATTCTGTATTAATATGGAAATTAACCATTGACAGTGAATCAACTAAAAGCGAAAATAAAACATCAAATAAATATTTTGAGTATCATGATGGAAACTATTCTGAAATAAGTAGAATGGTTGAAGGAATGAACTGAACAATGCATTTTAAAAACTTAATTGCAGACAAAATATATAATAAATTTTTATTAATTTACTCAAATATCATTGAATCTTTTATTCCACAACAAAGTAGAACTCAATAGATCTCCCTGGATCAAACGAGAAATTAAAGATTTAGTACGCATCAAAAGGTTATTATGGTTAGATTTATATTCAAAGAAAAATTGACAGGCTAAATCCAAAATAAAATACAAAGCAGTGTGCAAAGACTGTTACAAGCAAAACGCTCATTTGAAAAGAATCTTATAAGTAAATCAACCCACAATCCAAAACTTTTTTTCAAAATAATTTTTTTCAAAAACAAGCTTTAACATCCAATAATGAACTAATTAAAGAATTTAACCAAATAGTTAACATTATGAATGATCACTTTAAATCAGTCTTTACCAGGGAGAATACCAATAATTTACTGATTCTAAAAAATTACTTTTTGTCTTACACTTGTGAGGCAATAATAAATAATATAACTGTGAAATTAATTAAAAAAAAACTTCTTCAGTTAAATGATTATAAATCTCCAGGATCAGCAAGATCAAACATGGTAAAATTAATAATACTAACATGATGTGCATCTACCTTTGTTTTACCAATCGCTATGATTGTTGAAAAATCACTTAAAACTGGAAGAGTACTATATAAATGGAAATTAGCAAACATAACCCCAATATTCAAAAAAGGTACAGGCTAATTGCTAGCAACTACAGACCAGTTTCATTAACCTCAATAGTCTGAAGTACTTAAAAGTATTATATCTGACACAATATATAAACATATGTCAAATAATGGTTTATTAAATAAACATCAACATGGATTTGTAAAGGGGAAATCTTGGTACTCATGAATGATTATTAAGTTATATGGAATATCAAATGTCATATGCAACTGGGTTAGCAACTTTTAAACTAATTGACACCAAAGAGTTATACAAGGTAATAAAGCATCAAACTGGGAAATGATAGCAAGCAGTTCCCCAAGAATTGGTAATTTCTCCAATCTTATTCATTTTATATATCAATGGTTTACCAGAGATTTTAGAACACTCTAAGCTCTTTGCAGATGACACCAAGTTAAGAGAATGATCAATCGTTTCAGAATAAAATTAATCAAGGTTGCAAATGGTCAGAAATCTGGCATTTCAAATTTAATAGTGAAAAATGTCATATAATACACTTTGGAAAAAATAACCTTTGCTATATTTATAAACAAGGTGACAAAATATTAGCAGTCTCTGATACTGAAAAAGATCTTGGAATTACAATGTAATCAAATCTCAAATGGTAAAGTCACAAAACTAATTGTACATCAAAGCTTATTAAATGCTTGGAATGTTGAAAAAAATATTTCATTCAGCAAAAAAATGTTTAAGATACTATATGTAACATGTATAAGACCCCATCTTGAATTTATGATACAAGTGCCCATATCTTAAAAGTGATATTATCCCACTTGAAAAATTTCAACGATATGCCACTAAATGGATACCCCAGATTCAAAAAAAATGTTTAAGATATAAGAGTTAAAATACTTGGCTTAAGCACACTGGAAAAAAGATGTAAAAGAGGTGACTTAATTCAAATGTAAAAACTATTTAAAAAACAAATAATGCAGAACTAGATGTAATATTTTTGCCTCATATCAGCTTAACAAAAGGGGCCATAACTTCAAAATAGAAGAGAAATTGTTAAAAGTTGCAATATTTGTCATCAGTTCTTAACTAATAGAACCTCGTCAATGTGGAACAAGCAACCAAATTTTATCATCAAAAGTGAAAGCTTGAACTTATTCAAAAGTTGCATTGATAAATACCTATTTATAATTTAATTTATTTTTACAAATTTATAATTTAATTTATTTACCTAGAATAACTAAACAATGTATATAGTGATGCAACTTTACAACAATGGGAAAGAGGCTCAAGCTTAGCAAATTTAGTGGGTCCATTTGCGTTTACAATGTGTTTTTGGACTCTGTCTAGGAGAGAAAGAGCATCATTAGAAGAACCATTCATATGACAACAGTATTCCATACAGGGACGAATAACAGATTTGTAGAGGTAGAGAATGTTATCAAGAGAGAGAGAGAGAATGGTGAGCATGATAAAAAGAAGCAACCTTAGCAGATGCTAATTTAGCAATTTATTGTATATATGGTTTCCATGAAAGGTTAGTAGTAAACAATAATCTAAGAAGACGTAAAGAAGAGGACTCAGTGAAAGGGTTGCCATTGATTAATATAGGAATTTCAACAGTACTATGATAGTTGTTTGCAATAAATAACTAAGTTTTGTTGGAGTTAACATTTACAAGCCACTGCTAGCTTCGATCTGTTACAGAAATAAGATCAGATTGATCGGCTGCCTGTTCTATGCAATCAAAAAGAGAGACTTTTTGTTAAGACAGGAGTATAAAGTTGAGTCATCAGCAAAAAGAGTTACTTTAGATGTAAAATTGTCAAGAAGATCATTAATGTAGATAAGAAACAAAACAGGCCCAAGGATAGAATCTTGAGGTACCCCAGAAAGTTGGCCTTCGAGGATGACTTTAATAAAGAAATGATTTGATAGTCTCAAAAACTTTTCCAAATACACCATATGAAACAAGCTTATGGAGAAGACCAGCATGCCAAACTTTGCAGAAAGCTTTTGATATATTGAGAGCAATAGCCCTAGCCTTGCCGCCTTTATCTAATGCACAATAAAATTTTTCAGTTACAACAGTTAGCAAGTCATCCATATAGTGAGAGGATTAAAAACCGTATTGATTGTCTGACAGTAAATTATTTGACTCAAGATGGGATATGAGAAATTTATTAATCAAAGAATTAAAGACCTTGCCAATAACAGAAAGAAGACTGATTAGACGATAATTAGAGGGTTCAGAATGTTCACCTGAGTTTTGAAAGTTGGAATAATAAATGCCATTTTCTTGTGATTCTTCTGTGATTGCTCGCAGTGGGTGCTAAATTTTCTTCTGTGGTAGCTTGCTGTGGGTACTAAATTTTCTTCTATAATAGTTTGCAGTGGGTGCTAAATTTTCTTCTGTGTTGTTTACTGCTGATAATATTAGCAATGTTTTATTGAGATTGTTATTAGAAGTATTTATTAATTGTATGTTAGCAATGCATTACTGAGGTTGTTATTTAAAATAATTATTATTTGTATATTGATGAAACACTTACTGAGTCCTTGACTTAACATTTTTCACTTTCAATGACCTCATGGAAACCATATTTACAATCCATTGAAATCTTTGTGATTAAAATTTTTATAGTCCTGATTCCATTCTTTTTTTCTGTAAATCTCCTATTTGCTCTTTTATGGAATACTGTTGTCATATATGTTTTTTCTCTTTCTCTTTTAGACAAGGTTTAAAAAGGCATTAGTTAATTTGCTTGAGCTACTCTCTCTGTTGCATTTTGTTTTTAATTGTAATTATTGCATTATGTTCTAAAAACTTTCTCTAGTTTTTTTTTTTTATCTTGCACATCTATGGTTTGAAGTTCTCTCCGATATTCATGTTTTTCTGGCTCATAAAATATAAAAATTTTTTAGTTTTCTATCAACTGTTTTCTTTCTTGTTTACAATAATTTTTTGTTCTATTCCTCTCTTTTCTTTAGTTGTGTTGTTGAACTTTTTGTTAAATCCCAACTTAAACAGTGGTTGCTTAAAAAAATTATATTTAATAACTAATTTGAAAAAATAATTAAAGGAATTTCAAATAAATACTTTTATTTTTAGTTTTTTATAGTAAGAATCATTTAATAAACTCCTGTATAAGTAGAATAGGCTTTTATACTTTCTTTGTAATTTCGTTTATTATTTTTTTAATATCTGAAAGTTGATTTGAAAAGCAAATTGAGTTTTTTAATATTTTTAAATTAAAAATGTATAGATATAGCTTAATTTTGTATTCTAAATATTTTTCATACTTTTTTAGACCGGAAAAATGAGCGAACAGTTTAGCTCAAAAGAATGTCTTGCATTGCTTGTTGGATGTCTTTGTCATGACCTTGATCACAGAGGAACAAACAACGAATTTCAAATGAAGTAGTTTTTATTAAGTTTATGTAAATTATAAAAAAACTTTAGTATATAATTACATTGAACAAAACTAAATAAATTTGTTTCCTGGGAATGGTCTTTAAATATGAGTTATATTATTATCTATATTTTATTATATATGAATTATATTATTATTTATATATTATTTTTCAATTTTTTAATTTGTACTTTTTTTATTGTTGCTTGGTTTGTTTAATGCAATTGTTTTAAAAAGTATTTTTCCTGCTAAATTTTTTTTTTAACAATTTTTAATGATCCATTTTTAGAACGGATTCTCCCCTTGTAAAGTTATACAGCACATCAACATTAGAACATCATCATTTTAATCGTGCTGTCATGATCCTCAACAGTGAGGTAAAGTAAAATTATTTAAGTATTGAATTCCTAAAAATTTGATTTTATCAAAAATTGTGTTTGTCATAAGGCTGTTGTTTTCTACTGTAAATTATTTATATTCAAATTTTTAAAATTATGCTTGTTTGAAACATTTATAATTAGAACAAATATCAAGAAAACTGTAAATTAACAAAATAAATTTTGGAAGTAGAAAAAAATGTCACTCAATCTAGAACATGTATTGTATTTGACTTGAATATAATACTAATTTTGTGTTTAAGTTTCAATATGTTTTTATTATTACTTTTTTTTGCAAATATCATTGAATAATATAATATTGTGGTTATTTCCATAGTTTAGTGGACTAATCATGGAAGGGATTTTTTCTAATAAATGTTTTTCAATAACTTCAAAAATTGCTGCTCTCTCTAAAGAAGGTTTAAATTAAAATAACATAAATTAGATTTGATTTTAATGACTTAGCACTGATACAAGACGAAAATTTAAGCATGAGCTTAGTAGCAACTAAAACTCAATCTTGTTTAATTCGTCATTCAGCTAAGTCTCATTCTTTTACTGTATCTGTCCCTGCATGCTCTAAAAACTTTTTTTTGTCTAGTTTTTTTTCCCTGCACTTCAACACTTTGGAACTCTCTCCCATCTACATGTTTTCCTGACAACATTAAACTTTTCAAGTCTTCTGCCAACCGTTTCCTTGCTCTATAACTATTTTTTTTTTTTCTAGTAACTCCCAACTTAATAGTGGTTGCTTGCAACCTTGTTTGGAATGAATAAAAATAAAAAATTGTTTTCAGAACAATAACATTCTGAATGTTATGTTCTGAATGTTGTCATTTTGTATGTTATCATTCTGAACAATATCATTCTGAGTGTTATTATTCTGAACAATAACATTTTTTTTTCCGTGCATTGCTACAAAAAAATACAAGTATAATTTTTTTTGAAATGTTTGAAAATACAAATAAGATTAAGTATGGAAATCCACAATAAAATTTGAATTAATTTAATTAATTTAAAACTTTTATTATCTTTCCATCCTGAAATTAGCCATATGCATTTTTGATAGCTTTTAATTTTGATAAAATATCTAAAAATGTTTTTTTGTTTCATATACTTTTATTCTTTTTAATTTTCCTGTCATTTTAATATAAAATTTCTAACTTTCACCTTTTTAAAAAAATTCAGGGTAACAATATATTTTCAAGGATTCCTTCAGAAGAGTATAGAAAGCTGATGAAGTTAATTAAACATGCTATCCTTGCTACAGATTTATCTAACTATATAAGGTATATTGCAATAAATACACTAGTTATTTGGTAATTTGATGCAACTTTAATTAATAAAACTAATTTTTTAATTGGTTAGGCAGCGAGATGCTTTTGAAGTGACTGTTAAAGGTGGCTTGTTTGATACCAACAAGTATGAACATCGATCAATGTTGAGAAGTATGCTAATGACGGCTTGTGACTTGAATGGTATTACTAAACCATGGGAAATACAAAAAAGAGTATTTATTTTTCGAATAAAATAATTATTTTGATTAATAAAAGGATTTGTACATAATTAAATGAAGTTAATTTTATGACTTTTGTGGTTTAGGTTGTTCATTTAGTTACAAGTGAATTTTTTCACCAAGGTGACATGGAGCGTGATAAACTTCATGTTGAGCCCAAAGTAGGTTGTTTTTCCTGAATACACAAGTAGTTATGTATTTTAATTGAAACCAAAAAAGATTTTAAAGCAATTTTATTTTAGGAAATGATGGATCGCAACCATGTTTTGCAGTTACCCAAGTTACAAGCTCAGTTCTTTCAAACAATGTGTATACCTATTTATAAAGTATGTTATTTAGCATTCTACAGCAATTTTACTGAGAAAAATTTTTTAATTTTAATTAGTTAAAAATAAATTAAAATTTTAAAATTACTTTTATTGTAGCTGGTGCATTATGAGTTTCTTATTCAAAACATAATTCTGATCTAGTGTAAAATATAAAAAGTCATTTCTGTCCATAAATCAAGTTTAATGACCTTCATGGGAAAATCCTGAAATTTTTTGGTATTATAATTAAGTACCAATGATTTGGTAGAAATTGTGTTGATTAGATCCTGGGAACAAAAATCCCTAAAATAGTATGCATTGCTTACCTAAATGGAGAATTATTCCAAAAAATTAACTTTTTCATCAAATAAGTAACTAAAGTTTATGAATATTTTTAAAAATGTTTTAAAATATGTTTATGTTTTTAGGTAGTTTTATTTATTTGAAATTTTACCATAAAATCTCCTAGCATTCAAATGTTTTAACCTTTGATTAGGGCGCAATTATTTTCATAAGCGTTATTTCTAAATATGATAATATTTTTTACAAAACTTTAAATACTTTATCTAGTTTTAGATACTAAAATATAGATTTAAAAAAAAAATGATGATATTTAGGTATTGTCTACATTTTATAGGTTTTTCGTTCCTGGACTCTAATCAATCTCCGGCATTTGTTTGTGCGTGTTAAACCTTTTAAATAAAAGTAAGATAAAAGTTTTAAGTAAGTTTTAACATGAATTACATAAAAAATGAAGCTCTACATAGTTGATTTGTTTAATCTAGAGTTTAAAAATTAAGTGGTTTGCAAGGGTATTTTTCAACAAACAGCAAAATATAATTATTTTTAGCATTTAAAAATATTAAAAATTTTATTTTAGTAAGTGTTGTAAAAACTTAAGTATATTTATACCAAAGGTTGCATCTAATTGAAACGATCACCGCCTTAAACTATATGCAAAAAAATATATGACAGTGTTTTGATACAACTTATGACTGTTTTTTGAGCTTATTATTAAGAACCACAAGGTCCGTAGAAAAGTTTGTGACACTGGTGCAGTAACTACATAAATTCAAACATGGTTAATAAGTTTAGAGATTAACTTAAAATATCATGGAATTAAATTCCAACCAGCTTTTGACAAATAAATTTTGACTATTTTTTTTAATATCAATTAGAATAATTAATATCATTAAAAACAATATTCTGGGTTTTAATGAACCAAAAATATTTGAGAAAAAATTTCTAATTTCTCTAGATATTTCAAAAATAGCCTTATTTTAATTTTCAAGCTTTAGACATTTTAGACAAGTAAGTGTGTAACCTATTGTAAAGGCTGACAGATTTTTCAAAAAAATGAAAACGATCAGGAAAATATTTATTGTTAAAGGTTTAGGTTTTTTTTACCAGGTTTTTTTTTTCAACAACAAAATGTACTTGTTTTGTGATTTTTGTGATTGACTCTTAAAACTACTTTTTTTAGGTGTTGTCCGATTTCAATCCTCTTCTGCTTCCGCTGCTTAAGGGTGCCGAGGAGAATAAAGTAAAGTGGTCGGATATGAACAAAAAGCTTGAGCAAGGTGAAATAAGCGCTGATGCAGAACCTGTCTTACATCCACTAATACCAGATCAAGATGTATTTTAAGTTACTATTTAATAATGCTATTAAGTATGGAGTGTATTTGGTTCGGTGGAATGTATTTGGCAGCCCGAAAAATCAAAATCGATTGAGCTCTGATGTGAAGGCAATATTTAAAATGTTTTACAGATAAAAGCAGACAAAACATTAAACGTTTTAGTTTAAATGATGGTGTAAATAAAATGTTTTTGATAATAATAATCAATAAGGATTAATTTCCTTGTTTAAAAGCATCTTAAACAATTATTATTCTTGCGTTTTTAAATAAACAATTTTAAAATATTTAACGTTTTCATAATCCTAATAGGTTGACCTATAGACACGTTTTCAAAATAGAGGAATTGCACTTTAACAAATTAAATTGCAATTTAATTTGTTAGCAGCAACATTTTTAAAAATCAGAGTTAATCATTTTTAATGTATTTTTCTTTTAACTTTTTTTATAGCAAGAAAAATTTAATTTGTTATAACTTTTAATTTAAATGTTAATCTAATATTTTTAAATATTAATATTTAATTATTATACTAATACTTTTCTTAAAAAATTAGACGCTTTTGGAAGATCAGCATAAAAATTTCTCTTTTGTATTCAAAATACAGCAAAAACTGCATTCCTACTTCAAAACTGATGACGTATCTACCATCCTCGTTCAAAACAAATTGAATCTGTTTATCAGATTACTGAGCAATCCGACTTGTTTTTCATTAATTTTAACTCAAATATCTAATGTTAATAAAGAAAACTGCTTTATCAATGAAATAATGAAAATTTGCAACCGCCTGGAGCTAAGCTTTATGCAGTGTTTGATTAAGGGTAAAAAAATCATTATCAAACGTCGTAACGATGACGTAGAAAATAATATAGCAGAAATTTTAAATCAGTCTTTTGAATTCAGGAACATCAGAGAGCAGATAATGATATTCAAAATTTGATGGAAAAAAGCAAGAAGAATCCAAATTAGAATTCCAAGAAGAATCTAAATTAGAATTTCAACTTAGAGTAAAAATTATTAATTTTATGACTTTTGCATTTTTTACCTGTAATTTGGGCAATGAAAAGAATAAATAAATAAATAAAATGAAATCCATTAATCTCGTAATAATTAATTAGTTTTTAGTAGGGATGTACCAAAGCTATGATTTTGCCGAAGCCGAAGCTTTTGCACTCTCAAAGGTAAAGTTTGCTATCTTGCAGATCTAGCTATCTAGGTATGATATTATTTGCTGAAAAACATTTTTTAACGTTTTACTACAATTATTATATGTACTGTATGTAGTAAAATATATGTACTGCATTTATAAGTATTTTAGTGCAGAAGGTATTTTACTATATCAAATTATCAGGGGTTTTATTTTAATTACGCTAAGTCATAGGATTTTAGGATGTAGCAATACCTTGTTTGAACAAATTTAATGTTTCATGAAAAAAAGATTAGCTAACTAGTAATTACAAATTACAAATTAGTAGTTGAACATAAATAAAATTATAGTTGAAATAATAAAATTACCATTTAGTAATTACCATAAATTAGAGTAAATGAGGGAGGTTATTTTTATAATACTTATTAGTTTATTACGTTTACATTAATTATCCATTGTTAAAAATCAGGCAAACTATAGTTTAAAAACGTAATCTGTTCTCCATGCAGGCAACAGCCTGTTTCTTTTGACTTAAAATATGTTTGCCGTTGTGCTAAATAGAGGTTCACTCTTTACGGATGAAAGAGGTGCGCACAAAATTTTCATTGAAAACTTTGCCGAATCCCACTTGTAAGTGTCTTCATTGGAGCAGATGTAGTTGTAAACACCCCACCACTTATAAGGGCATTCATTTTTTAGTAATGTTGATAGGCTAAAGTCGAAGTTGACTTCGTCCATGTTGAATCAAAACTATGAATCAATTTAAAGTTTAAACTAATATTTTAAATCTTTAATCAATTAAGGAAAAAAGAATATTCTTATTCAACTTGTTAATAGACATTTATAGTTAATAAATAATTATTTTTTGCAGGGAAAGGTAAAAATATTAAATGCAACCAGACCCGTAACTACAGGAAGACACGGCTTGCCTGTATATAGTTTGTGCCTGCTTGCAGCAATCTTTCCATAATATAAATAATATAATTTTGTCTACAGCAATTCTGGTGTGCAAATAAACCTGTAAATAAATTTCTTTTAACAGGGCTGAATGCAACATAATAATTAATTTGAAAATTAACATCAATTTTCAATAAAATTTGTAATAAATAAAAAAAATTACAATTTTATTTAGATATTTTTTATTCGTACCATTTTCCTTTTAAATTTTGAGTTTTTAAAACGTACCATGCCCACTGGGTAGGTTGTTGAATTTTATTTGGTACAGACTTTTTTATGTCACGGTTAGTTTGGTACTACCATTTTACACGTAGACTTATTTGTCAATTTAGCTCAGACTTATTCAATTCAAAGTCAATTTATGGTTATTTATTTAAGTCTTGCAATTAAGTAACACTAGATAAATTTGTTGAAAACAATCTAAGATCAGTTCTGATAATCAAATTTTATTAATCAATTTTATATATCTATCTTTGTTATCATTTTATTATGGAGTTCAAATCTAATTTTCAGGGAATGGTCCTAGGCAGGGCCGCCGAGAGCCACCACGCCGCCTGGGACAGCAACCTTGATTGGCGCCCTTATTTATCAAAATTTCCTTATTTATCAAAAATTTTATATGAAGGGCTTTACCCTCTTGGCGGCAATGGTCCCAGATACAATAGCTAAAGGACCTAGGAAGAAATAAAAAAAGGTTATTGTACTAATTTTTAAACCCTTCTTCATGACGGACTTTTATAGTTTAAGTCAATTTATTTATACTAATACAAATTAATTAGTATAAAGATGTAATCATTTCAGTTCCCCCATTTTTAAAAAAGTTTAGGGTTTTGAATTTGGGCTTTGAAAAAATATGGCCCAAATTCTAGACCCCAGACTTGTCTAAAAATAAGTAAACGAGGTCTCCCTACCTATGTGAATTTTTAAATTAGACACCTATGTAAATGAAATGATTGGATTTTTTTATGCGTTTCGGTTTCTTTCTATATAAAGTTTTGAAACAAACTTGAATAAATAATAATTGTTTACTATTTGCTTTCAAGATGTCAACAAGTAAATAGTCGTATAACAAAGAAGATATAGAAATTGCGTTAGATTATATAAAAGAAAAAAAAATACTTTAATTAGAAAAGTTACATTTAAATATGGCATTCTAATTTTAACTCTTAAAAGTTGCAAGAATGCAAGATGCAAGATTTAAAGGATAAGGATCAATAACCGTTCTCTCGCAGAAATTAATGATGGTGCATGTGTTTAAGTTTCTTTGTAAACGGACATGTGGTTTAACACAAAATGGTGTCATGGATTTATACATTAACGAGCCGATACATTAGTTTCTTTAATTTTTTTAGAGCATCACGATGGTCTGAAGAAATTTCTACAAGAAAAACTCACAGTTTAGTATCTGCCATAGCTGTTTTAAGTATGCAAAAAATAATATGATAATATGATAACTATTTTGAAGTTGTCACTAAATAATATCAACTGTTAGGTACAACTTCTGGTTGTCATATTCAGAATATCAATGAAACTTTTTCCTGTGGTTATCAAGAGTGTTGCGACAGTCTAAAAAAAATAAAAAAAATTTCTACCTCAGGTAGAAATTTCTTATTTGTATATATAATAGATATTTATTTCTTCATAAATGTCTATTATAAATATAAATAAAATATAGAAGGTAGAAAATTTGTTTCATTTTTGTTTGGGAAACGATGCATAGAAACAATTTTTGACTGCATTTAGATCATTTTTGTATATTATTGCATGCTCAAAGTAACGAGTGTTTTTCAGTGAAATTACCTAGTTAAAAGTCCTAAACCTGCAGTGGTTTTGATTGCTTTTTGAATAAAAGCAAAACAGTAAAAATTTTAACAATACCAAATATTTTTTTGTTGTTTTATAATTTAAAGGTTTAAGTAAATAAAATTTAAAAAATAAATTTTTTGGGGGTAAAAAAATGTGGACGAATATATAAGCGCAAATTTCATAAGTGCGAACTGGCATAAGTGCGAAGCAGTTTCAAAAACTGGCTCAAGTGCAAAATGGCATAAGTGCGCCAAAGGAATTAACAAACATTGGCATAAGTACGCCGAAAAAATTTGCAAATATAGGCATAAGTGCGAACGCCCTTATGCCAGTTCAGTATAAAAAAAATTCTTCTCAGTCTCTTGATATTTACTTTTTATTTATTTTTTTATGATTTGTTTTATTATAATATCATATATATATATATATATATATATATATATATATATATATATATATATATATATATATATATATATATATATATATATATATATATATATATATATATATATATATATATATATATATATATATATAATAAAAAGTTGTTATTTAAAACTTTCTAAAAAAAATTTGTTATATTCAGAATAATACGAGCGCGTGAGCCGAGGAATTTGTACCTGCTTTTATTATAACCAAGTGAAATAGGTAATACTTTTGTTTTGTTACGTTGAACTAAATTCTTAAATTGATTTTTTACGTTTCTTTGGAACCTCCAACGATGCTTTAAAGCTTCTGCTATTTTTCAAGGAAATTTTTTCACTCTCAAACTTTAACAATTTTAATATTGCCAAAATGTCTCCTTTTGCCTTTTCAAAATTGTCCAACCAAAGTCTTAATTGATCCAGTTCCTTTTCCTTTTGTTTTTCGCGTAAAGAAGGATAAAAATTACCATTTTCTTTATTTAACGGATTTTCTTCATAAGTTGAATGGTCAGTAACATAAATCGAATGACCAGAAAACAAATTTTGGGAAGACACAAGTTTTGAAGCTAATGAATAGTCGCTCATAACAGAATCAGCGCTGATCACTGAATCTCTGTTTACCTCTCTATTTAGAGAATTATCAATGCGGCAATTGGTTTTTTTATTAAATTTTTTGGTGTTTGATTTAATGGAGTTTTTTTGCTTCAATTTTTCAAGAACATCTTGACGTTGTTGACTTAAATTGCACAAAGAGCTACTGAGATCTTTTTCTTCAAGCTGTTAAAAGAAATAAATTAAATACATTTTAGATTTAAGAAATGGTGTCATCTTATCTTTTAAATAATTTTACTTTACTGAACACTGTTTACTGTTAACATTTTTATTTAGTATAATATGCAAAATAGTATTTATCATACAAATGTTTAGTTTTACAAAATATATGAATTCAATTTAACGTGTAGTTTGACCTAATATAAGGGTTTTTTTTGGAAAGAAAAATAATAATTAATAGAGTATAATCACCAAATTAAAAAAATAAATAACTTTATAAATATCTTCATGTTTTTGTTTTCAATACTGAAGTACTCTTAAAGTTTATTTGCAATAATAACGTATTATTGCAGATTATATTGTTTTTACTAGTTGGACTCTAAATAGGTTCTTTTATTTTTAAGTTGAACTGAAAATGATTAATATGACAGAAATCTCTTGTTAATTTATTAGTAAATTTTGGTAATTATTATAAAAATATATATAGAGTAACCTGGGGCTAAGTAAAACACATTTTGGGGAATGCTTATAACTTAAGAATTATTGTTTTGCCCATATCAAGTTTAGAAAACTTGTAACCCATTATGCTTTTAATGCTTTCATTAAGATATATGCTAAAAGCTTTTGTTTGTTGCGGAATTTATATCAAAATGTAATGTAAGGCAAATTAAAACTAAATTTTCAATAAAATTTAAGGAGATTTTTAATAGATTTGATGTAGATAATTCCATATCAAATACCATATGCCACTATATGTCTCAGATTTTGTTGTTTTTTACATAATTAAAAGCACATAATTAAAAAATAAGAATTCCATAAAAATTTCAGTCTTATATACTAATATAATTGGGAAAAATGGGGCACAGTAGATCGGTTTACTTTATCTTTTTTAAATTATGTAATAGGTAAAATAATACTTTTTTTAAAGGTGAAAGAATTGAGACATGTATCCTACAAGATAAAAAATCATTAAAACCCAAATAATTATTATCTATCTTTTCATAGAAATGTTTTAAGTGAGTTAAGTTATTCGCTGCACACGAGTACCGGGGTAATAACAACCTTAAGCGCAGTGAATCAATAGTGACAACTGTGAATTAATAATAGTATAAATAGGTGTCCCGGTGGAAAATGAGCTAGCGACTAGCGAGCGAATAGCTAGCTTTATAGCGATTTTCAAGCGATTTTTTTTTTCTTATTTGATTCTTTACTAATGTCTCTAACATCTTTAAAAATTCGATTTTTAGTGTTGAGTCTATTATAACTATGAGAATAATTGAACTTTAAACATTACAATTTTGTAGCAATGTGTTACTAGCTACATATCGTAGCTTTGTAGCTAGCTACAAAATATGTACAAACCTATAGCTGGTTGATAGCTACATACCAACATTTTTTTGATAGCGATTTTATTACGATATGACGGTAGCTACAATAGCCTGTGAGTCTTTAGCTTATTAAGCTAGCTGTCTTCGCAGCCAAATCGCTGTCTTTATCTTTTCAAATATCGATAGCTTTTCGCTAACTTAAAAAAGCTAGCGATCCTCGTGGCCAAATCGCTGTCTTTATCGTAACGATTATAGCTAGCTATTCGCTATCCGATTTTCAACCGGGGTGTAAGAGAATTATATTAGAACTGTGAAAGCTAAAACACTTTTTACTGTTTTTAGACGTAATATAAACAAATAGAAAAGTATAAATTTGAAATAAAGAATAATAATTAAAAAAAAAAACAAGTACCTAAAAATAATAAAGAAAACGGTCCTTCATCTATAATATAGAGAAATGTTGATAAATAAGGGCGCTAATCAGTGCTGCTGTCCAAGGCAGTCTGGGTAATTTATCAAGAGTAACACATCAGAAACTTGATCAACGTTTGGAATAATAAAGAAAAGTAAAGACTTTTTACGTTTAAAAAAAGATACTTCTACGACATTCTAAGTAATACTTTCTCTGTGCTTAATGTTGCTAGTTTTACAAAATTAAAATGTTTTTTTTTAGTAGTAACTTTGACTAAAACATTTAAAATAAACCTGTTTTAAAATCATTTAAAACAAACCTTTTTTGAAAATAATGTTAAACCAATGCTGCTATTAATTTCACTTTCTATTAAGCTAATTATTATCTTATCTTATTAGATGAACGCTTGCACTTTTTTGTGAGATTTTTCAACTGCAATTGGTTTATGGAATTCTGCTTAGTTTTATTTTCCTTTGTGAAATTATAATTTTCTGCATCGCGAGTTTCTTCTCTTACAGAAGTGTTTCTTCTTTTTTTTCTTCTTCTTTCACGTCTAATTTAAAAATAAACTGAAGGGAAAAATACTTGCTCTACATATTGATAAAAAAAAAATATTTTTAAAATACTGCTGTAAGTAGTAAACCCTGCTGTAAGAAGTAAACACTGCTGTAAGAAGTAAACACTGCTGTAAGAGGTAAACACTGCTGTAAGAAGTAAACACTGCTGTAAGAAGTAAACACTGCTGTAAGAGGTAAACACTGCTGTAAGAAGTAAACACTGCTGTTAGAAGTAAACACTGCTGTAAGAAGTAAACACTGCTGTAAGAAGTAAACACTGCTGTAAGAAGTAAACACTGCTGTAAGAGGTAAACACTGCTGTAAGAAGGAAGTACCTTTTAACTTATGGTATGCTTAAATTCGTAATTATATTTGAAATCAGCTTTGATAGTTACACGCTCATTTTAACAACTTAAATATTAGTCTAGAAATATTAGTCTAGAGTCAATTGCTATTAACTAGTATAATAGCGTTTCATTAGTCGATGCCAAAACATGAATTATTTAATTGTTATTAAATTTTGAAAGAAGAAATTTTCAAAAGACATCAGCATGAATGATTGTAAACTTGAAAAGCTCAGCAAGTTTCCTATCTGTTCAAATTGTATTTCAATTTTAAGAATGAACTCCCACAAGTAACCTGTGAAGAGGATAATGTCAAGCATAAATTTGTAATTCAGAAACAAATTTGAATCTGCAAGACTATGCAAATTGAACATCTGAAAAATAAAGTAGCAAAAAACAACAAATTTTTTTGCAAAATTTATTTCTATGGCTGTCGCAGTTTTCTACTGCTGGTATTGTAAAAACAGTTTAAAATTCTCGGATCTTGTCCAAGAAAGAGTCAAATACCTCCATGTTAAATAGCCAGAGCCGCTGAGAGTCATCACATTGCCTGGGACAGCAACCCTAATTGGCGCCCTTATCAAAATTTTCCTACATATTAGGTTTCTTCTTTTTATTTAACGCTCCTTGGATATCTGCTTCCTGGAACAAACTGCCCCTTTTTCTCCCCCCCCCCCCCAAACTTAACTTAAAAAAGCTTTCGCTCTGTATTGAACATCTGTATCGAATTTGTTTGATGTAAAAATATCATGAAATATTTCTAACATGTCAATGTACAAAAAATTGATAACTTGTGTTGATCGGAAGTTTTGATGAATAAATTTTCGAATATATTAGTAACAGCTCTGACTTTAGATACATACCTGCAACTGGCTTTACTAATTTCAGGTATGTATCTCATTTTGATAAATTCACGCCAGATATTTAATCGTAGATATGATTTCTGTAAAAAGACATTGTTTTAACTTTGCATATTAGAAGTACTATCGATAGCATTCCCGATAAATTTACTTACATAAAGGCCTTTTTAAAATTAAATTTTAGAAAGATTTTAGATTCTCTTTAACCTCTTCAGTATGTCGGCGCGTAAAAATGCTGTGCAAGTTGCATGAAATACACTGCTTTAACTTTATCCTGTTATAAATCTGTGCAAGCTGCATGAAATACACTGATTTCATATTCTGATATTCCTTAATAAATATGCTTGGAATTCAAAATGTCATATCTACTAATGAATGTTGATTGATTTTAGGCTTCGCTAAATGCCAGACAAAATGAGCAAAATAATTTTTGCGTGATTTCCAGTTTCAGCCAGTGCCAAGGCTTATTGCAACATAAATAAATATTCTCGTAATTAATTTTAACGTTTAGATCAAAGTCATTTTGTTTCAGATGAGATTTAAAAAAAGATTTCAAACAATTGGCAAGTGGTTTTAAAAATTACTTGAGTTTCTTTACTTGACTCACATTGAGTACTGTTTAATTTTTGTTAAATGCCAGAGTTAGGGTGAAACGTTGTATTGAAAACATTGCCAACTCAAACTATTTGTTGTTTCAATTTTAGAACCATGTGCATTTGCCTCATTAGGTGATAATAATAATAATAGCAATAATAGTAATAATAATACCGCATCGGTGGCATTACAAATTGGATGGAGATCTTATATAGCAATAACAGAAATAGCTACTTATTTCTGTTGTTGCTACAGAAGCCATGTTGACATTAGGAATTGAGTTAGCACTACAATTACGTCTTTAATTTTTTATATTTTCAGGCATTGTTCTCTATTCTTTCTTATTTGTTCTTTTTCAGCACCTCCTTTTTGTTTATTCATTTTTCTTTGTCGTAGGAAATTTTGTATACTGGAAAAAAAATTATTTAAAAAATAAAATCAATTTTGGCAGATGTCCTAATCTATAATCAACAGCAAATTAAAATGTAGCCTAAAACTATAAGAAGTTTTTTTTCTGGCTCAATGTGATTGGCTCAATGTGATCTGGTAATCTCCCAGGTAATCTCACTGGGAATCTTCCGGTATTTTAGCGGCCCAGTTGTACACAGCCAACTGTACACAAAAGATATGTGTTTAATTGGTGTGGAATTTGTGTGCACTGTACACAGCCAACTGTACACAAAAGATATGTGTTTAATTGGTGTGGAAACAAAATCTGGTTTTTAAATTTTGAAAATTTCGAAAACAATAGATAATTTGTCTGTTTTACAGAGCCGAAATATTGAAGATGAATATTTGGAACAAACATTTTTAAAAAAAGGTATAAAAATTACACAATTAAAAGAGCTTATAAACACCAAATTTGAATCATTAGATCTACTACCAGTTAAATTTTATAGGATTTTGCAACGTGCTAAAATTTCATAAGTTAAAGGAAAACCAATATAGCTATAACTTGTAACTTATACTTATAGTTGAACGACTGATAGCTCTTTGAACATAATACAGTATACTGTATTATGTTCAAAGAGCTATCAGTTACTCTGAATTAATTCTATTTTTAGTGTAAAAAAAGTTGAAAAAAAATAAACAGAAGGAAAAATATTTACTGATTGACTTTGGTATTATGGATGTTAAGGAAACCAGATAATGTAACCAAAACATCATTGTCAACTATAGCTAATACAAAAAAATTCAAATTTAAAAAAGAATAGTAGACTCCATAGAAACAAATATTGGAAGAACTAACTCAGATTTTATTGATAAGGTGGAAAGCTTTTATTGCAATAATCGGTTGATTTTTATTGCAATGATCGGTTGATTTTTATTGCAATGATCGGTCAAAATGATTACTTGTTTGTAATTTGATAGTCTAGTTTGTTGAATTTAAACTAGCCCTATAAATTTTATAAGGTTTTTTAGATTTTTTCAGTTAAACCCAAAATGTTATAACAAAGCTGGTCAAAAAAAACCAAAAGCTTATGCTGTTAATCTAAAACTTATGCAGTTATAACAAAACTGTACAACTTACCAAAACCTAAAGCTTATGCTGTTAACCTAAAGCTTATGCTGTTAACCTAAAGCTTATGCTGTTAACCTAAAGCTTATGCTGTTAACCTAAAACTTATGCTCTTAACCTAAAGCTTATGCTGTTAACCTGAATTAAAAGGAATAGTCACCAACTTATTGTTTTTAGCAAAGATCTAAGGGAATATACGGTCCATAAATGTAATTGTTGCCCTGGAATTTAAATTGGTATTAGTTATTTAAATGCGACCAATTACAAAATAAAGGATCGTTTGAAGAATTCACGAAGTTAATGAAGATGATATAATTGAGTAATAATAGTGCAACGAACATAAATTTCAAAAGAGCCACGGAGCAAAAAAAATGGAATCAAACATTAAACTTTACTAGCCCAATACAATATCTTCAAAAAATCATAGCAGAAAAATACAATATATGCATATATGACATGCTGGGTTTGGCTAAAATCAGAAATTGATGAAGAAAATGAAAACTTAAAAAATAACTCTAAAGTTCAACCATCCTAATTTCCCTAACACTTTTTTACGCCAAGAAAAGATGATTGTTGGTCCAAATATGTTAATAATGATAACATGGGATTAATAAATTTAACATGCAGTTAATAAGTTTAATGCAATTAAAACTATTTCTTTCATAAAATAATGATAATTAGGAAATTTATAAAGTTTTAAGCAAAAGTTCACTTTGAAGATCTTTTTTAGTAACAACTGTCGTCGCACTTTCCCTGTAACAACTGCTAGATTAGAATTATTTTGTTTTATACCCACATTTTTGAGTTTTGAGATAACACTATTTAAAATGTGAAAACTATAGAGGACAGCATATAAAACGTTTTTATTACTTGTATTTTCGTATACATACGTAGCATACAAACGTAGCGTACATACGTGGGTACGTATGTACGCAACGTATGTATACGAAATTATCCACGTTTGTGGATAATTTCCTAACTGATAAACGTTTTATCACACTGACGTAATTTGTAAATTTTAAATCTGCTTTTCTACGTCACATTTTAAGCAAAAAATAATAAAAATCACTTTAAAACATGAAAACATAAAACTAAAACTTTGAATTTTTAAAAATAAACTTGCACAAGGGTAGAAATACTAAATGCCCTACTTTCTCCCGTGTTTTGTTTTCCCCCAGGTTGCTCTATATTTATATTAGAAATGTTTATATAAGTATTTGCGTACATATTTCTAGATTTTATTATAAATATCACGAAAAATGAAATAAAATATCTGTTTGTATATAAATCAATAGAAGTTATAAAATTGCAAAACACTTACTTCTAAATCTCTCAAATTGAATGAAACTTTAAAGTTTCTATTAAAACTTCGATGAAATTCAGGATATGCGCGCATAGATGATAACATATCTTCACGTGAAATAGATTGGATGTCGCAGTATGTAAGTGCACGTACACTTGCGCATGATTTACCTACAAGACGATCGTACACTGCTCCAAAATTTTCACCAAACGAATCACATTTTCCTAACAGATAAAATAAAAATAAATAGGTTATTTAGGTGCTCCCAGAAGTCCTTACGGTTTTATCACGGAGCACCGCGGGAGAGCATTTAAGTAGAAGTTTACGCCTTCTTCCTTATCAATGTCGCTTATTGGGCTGCTCGTGATATGAAACTTATATCGGTTGTTGTAAAAAACTATATTTAATTGTATGAGATAAAACTACAAGCGCATTACTTAAAAATATGAAAATTAATTTATTAATACGACGTAGAAGAGTATATGAGGCAAAAATCATTTTCAACAAAATACGACACAATTTTAATAAATATAACTCATTTTTTAATTATAATTATTTTAAATAGTTTTTTTGAAACTAAAATAATTAAATTGTTAATATAATTTATTTTTTACCTAAGACGAAAATAACTTTATCTCCTTGTAATACTTCCAAAGTGCCACGTTCAATCCACATAAGGTTGACTATCTCATCTCCGTAATGAATAATATAGTTGCCGGGTGTGTATCTAGTTGTTTTTAACTTAAGAGATAGAGTACGTAAACAACCAGGAGGGACACCACGAAAAGCTAAATTTCTTGCAAATAAGTTTCTATTCAAATGAAGACAAACCTCTGCTTGAAGACCCTCTGGAAAATGACTTAATATCTAATGTTTAGGGCAAAGTTATATATTAAATAAATTAATTAAAAAAATTAATTTATAATAATTTACAACTCGTTAATAAATTTTTAATTTAATAAAAAAACAACAGAAACAAAGGAAATCAAATTTAAAAAAATCAAAAAACCTCACAAACCTCGTTCATATCAATGCCATTAGTATACGAATAATCGTATTGAGAGTAATCTTCCAATCGCTGACGTAAAGGTGACGGAATTTGATAAAAACGAATAAACCGTCGAACCCGACGCATTGTAGAGTGATAACGAGCCAAACCAGAATACAATCTGTGAATAATTGCAGTAATATTGCCAAATATGATAGCATACATTAGAGCTAAATGAGTAATTTTTTATTTGAAACAATTAAAATAATTTTTTTGTTGTCAAAATTATAACATCAAAATTGATTTCGACTAATAATTTGCGTTAGAGTTATTAGTTCACGATATGAACACGATAAATTAAGAAGATAGTATCTTAAAAGTCAGTTTTAACTATTTTATAATGAATAGTCTTAATAAAGTCTTTAAAAAAAAACTTTCTAGTCTTTGATGATTTTTTTCATCTTGATTTCTTAAAACTTTTATTTTTTGTTAAGAATATTGTAATGAATTATTTTATGGTAACAGTAGTTTAATTTTACCTAATCGTCGTTATTACACCAACAGATTTCCCTATAAACTAATCGATTAAACTAACCGATTAAAACTTTTATGGATTGCAGTTGGTTAATATTATTCCGTTAAAATTAAGGATTTATTAAGTGCAATTTTTCAACAAATCAATACCAAATTTTGCCCGAAAGTAATTTAACTATTTTCGGTAAATATTATAATATTTTTATGACATTGAGTGAAATATTTTTTGCTGTAAAACCATTTTTCAAAGACCTTTTCCGCGTGACAACCAACCCCACCCACGGCGTTAGTTTTCACATACAATGCGGCTGGTTGTCACATTTCTTGGTACGTTTTGATTAAATTTGAAACTAGTACCAATAAAATTTGTTTATATAATATAAAGAATAAATCTAAATAATCTGAAAAGAAGTGGCTATATACGGAAAAAAAAAACTATATACCGAAAAATCTTCTTTTTTTTTTTAATATAACACTATAAACACATTTAGTTTAGGACTATTTTAGTGTTTTTAAAAGTGGTGTTTTTATAAATTGTTGAATGAATAACACAATTCACATATAAATTGGTGTAAGTCTGATGTGCATTTTTCATAAGCCCATTTTTGGCAAGTCCACTTTTCTCTTGATCTGCTGTTAGCAAATGATTCATTACAATAGATACATAGATACTCTTCGTCTTTATATGAATTTAAAAATGTAGAGGTTTTTTTTTTGGGCAAAATTTGACTTTATCAATTCTTTTTTACTTCCATTAATAAATGATTTACGATTCTTATTGATATTTCCTTTTTTATTATTTTTTATTTTTATAATTAGCCATGGTTTGACAGTTGAGTAAGTAAAAATCATAGATGAACACTTTTTCCTACCTCTTTTTGACGCTAACCTTGGACCTGCTTTAGGCAAAGGCCATATAATCTCAGGTAGTACAATTAAATTTTTTAATATTAAATTTTTAAAGCTCGAGGGAATTGTAACAACCATCCATATATATTATATGACAAGCAACCCCTTCTATGTAAGTTGCAAGACACTTGTAAGTTTACCTAAAAGCGTGTAAATTTCATGAAAATTTTTTGTGGATTAAGGTACTTAAATGAATAAAAAACTTTAAAAATGTACATTCAAAGCACAATAAAATAATTTTTGCCTAATAAAAGAAAACTTAGCTTTTTCATATCAAAAACCTATAAAAACGAATAACTTTTTTTTCTACACGCTAAATAAAAGCTGAAAATTAAAGTGAAAATGTTTTTTTATATAACATTTCCATTGTATGGTTTTAAAGTTCTAAACCTTTTCTACATTTTCTGTAGTAAAAGTTGTGAAAACCAACTCCGCTCTCCCCTATATGTAAAAAATTTTTAACCGATATATTTTTATATATGCAAAAATGTTTCAAGACACTCCATATCTTTCATTTCTTTTAGACTTTTATTTGTCTACAGAATCAATCAACTATCACGTCTTTGCTTTTAAGTGATAGTGGTTATTGAAGGTTTTGTCGCATTATTTTAATACTAAATTTTATTGCAAAAATTGCTCCTAACGTCCGGAACGTAAAGATATTCTGTAACAGTCAGACTAGTACCATAGTAACTTACGTTATTAAGAAATAATTCATTTTCACACAATCTGCAAAATTCATCAAAGTCTGCAATTAATCAACAATAATGAGTTTGTTACGCGTGCAGATTTTTTTTTCGTAAAGTTAATATTTGAAATCCTGAAAGTGCCTAATAAAATAGAAGCTAATGTAAAAGATGGTTGCTTTTTAACAAATCATGGCCTGGCTTTAGTCAAAGAATTTTTATATTTATATTTCTAAAAATCCTAAAGTAGCAAAATTTACGAACTGTTTTGGGAACGTACTATAAAATGGAAAACCCAGCTTGGTGTCGCTGACCCTAAACTATCAAAAAAAGGAAAATGCCAGATTATTTAAAAGATTATTTAAAACACAAAAAACCTATCATTTCCATGATTCACCAAAATAACATTATCGCTAATTGTATTTTAAAGCTTTCGATCTTGTTATCAGTTTTATAAAACAGAGGTTTGATCAACCTGATTATAAGGTATATATTGACCTTCAGAAAGTTCTTCTCAAGTCAAAAAAAAGGGAAAGTTAGGAAAATCATATGCAATTAGTATGTCACTTTTAGTGTCGAGAAATTAACCAACCTTTAGCTAAAACACAAATTGCCGTTCTCCCAAGTATTGCAACATCATTAGGGTACGACATCAAAAATGTTTTAACATCATGTTTTTCATTTTGGATCACTCTAAAAGATTTTGGATCACTCTAAAAGAGCTTTACTTACCGAAGTTATGAAGAATGTCAAGCTAATTCTTGTCATGCCAGCTACTAATGCTCCTAGTGAAAGATCTTTCTCCGCTTTAAAAAGAGTTAAAATCTACCTTTCAATTTACAACAACAGATTCCCGCCTAAACAACTTGCTTGTTCTTCATACTCACGTGGAAACAGTGGACAAAATTGATTTTGTTGAAGTCGCAAACGAGTTTACTTATAAATGTCAAACACAAATAAACATTTTAAGAAATTTCAGTTAGCATTTTTGTAGAGATAAACAATGTTTGACGCAAGTATTACATTTTTTATTTGTTTCATAATTGTGGAGTTTGATGTTCATTAAATACACATTATAATAAAAATTAAAACTTTTTGTTACCCCCTCCCTCCTGTAAAAGAACCCCCCTAATATCAAAATTATGGTTACGGTTCTGTAGAATTTTGATACGACAAAATAATTTTCGTACTTTAGTTTACACTATAGTTCCAGGAATTCGTTTTCAATTTGTGAAAAAATAAAATAAATAGCATAAAATATAATTAATAAAGTTCTGAATTTAAATGACGTAATATAAAAATAAAACACGAAAGAGTATTTGATACCTTCATTTCGTAAATAAAGTGTCATTTAATTAAGATTACTATCTATATTTCAATATCCCAGACAGCACACGACTCCGGGCCAGAACTCTAGCGAATCATCGCACGCGGTAGCAACTATATAAGTAACGGGCCATTACTGGCGCGAGTCTGGCAAGCGACTTAAGCAACTTTTTTATCTATGGTAAATCATCGCAAATTGTTTCAGCGGCGTGCGACAAAATTCTAGAACTGGAAAGTAGTCGGAAGCCACGGTGACTGCATTTGATTTTGGGCCAGCACTGGCCCAATTGCGGTGGATACAGAGTTTTGGCCGAATCTCGTTCTGCCATAATTGCCATTATTTAAGTGTTTTTCTTGTTATCCATGATAATACTATAAAAGCTAAACTAAACGTTTACAAGATATATTTTGTTATTACAACAAAATCTTTCTATACTTTAATTTTGTATAAAAGTTATGCTGATATGCAAAAAATGTTTATTTAATAAAAAATACGGTTGGTAAATAGTGAAAGTTTTTAATAAGGTTAGATGTATCTAACGGTGATATCATTTTCTTATTTGTAATTTCACAATTTTTCAACACATTTTTGGTTAGTAATAAATTTCGAAAATACTTATTTGTTTTTGTCGATATAAGTTGAAATATATTTCGAAAAGTACTTATTTGTTTTAATTATGTGGAATAAAACATATGCACAGAAACGGCTAATAATAACGTGCTAGTGTATAAGTTAGTAAAAAGAAACGCTTTAGTGCTGACACGCGTACACGAAAGAATGTTGGCAAATGATCACGGATCCGTACTGTTAACAAATAATGGACCAGTGCTAACAAACGATCGCAGGCCAGTGCTGGCAAACGAATGCGGGCCAATTTTGGCGCATGGCTTGTGGACCAATGCTGGCTCATTGGCCGTTTCGATGCAGGCCCGTGATCGACCGCCGTTATCGCGCTGTAGTCGCAAGCGTAACTGGGCCAGCATTGGGCCGCTAGCGGGAGGCTGTCTGTGATATTTATTAATTTCAAATTTGTGTTTCTTGATTGAACTGGTCTGTTTGCAATATGTCTACAACCTAATATAAAAATATATGTTGCGCTTTTACTCTAACCTTGATGCTTTAAAATAATGAGTTGCTTATTTTTTCTATATTTAAAAAAAGACTTTCTCTTTATAGACGCATTATTTGTTCGAAGCAATAGCAAAAATAAATTTACTTTTGTCTTCAGTTTAACCCTCACAAATTGTTTTCTTAATAAATTGTAGTTTTATCTTATTTTAGAAGTTTATTTGAAAATTGGTGACATTTAAGAATTAAATGAATAATAGTATATTTATCACTTTGATTGGTTGAAATTCTGACAATTTTAAATTGATTTTTCTTAAAAATCATTCTAATGATTTTAAATGACTAATTTTTTTAATGATAATTATTGAAAAAAATGCATCATTGATGCATACAAAAATACTCTTTTGTGTGTGATTATAGTTTAGTTTAAATCTGATTATTTTTTAAAATGCCGCGTAAAATGGCTGAAAATCGAAAAAATAACTTGAAACTTTACATCGAAAAGCCATTGTATTCATATTCAATTTCAATACCAAAATCAACTGTTGGAATTGTAATAAAAGTCTTAAAGGGGAACAAAACTAAGAAACAAGCGCAAAATCAAGTAGATCATTTATTCAAGATTTCAAAAATATTTCAAAACTTTATATAGAAACCCATCGTGTTTATCGTGTTCAACGTGATTATTGTTTTGTTCAATTGTCAG